GAAACACATAGCTTGGAAATTGTGTGTTTTGCTGTAGACCAGTTACAATTAAGTGTGGACTTCTTTATTTCTCTTGAATGAATAGAAACGCGGAGTCGATGACAAGGAACTTCTTCCGTATTATCCTTACAGAGATGATGGGGAGCAAATCTTGAAAATTATAGAAAAAATGGTGAAGGAATACGTCGACTTGTAAGTATTACTGCCCGGCGGGACAAAAGACAAACTTGTTACTCTGTATAAAAGAGCAGCTTCTTAAAAAGAGTCTTAATCGTTTGATCAAAAATCTGATAAATGTCTGTGGTTAGTTAATTAACAAAGTTAAGTCTGACTAAGAAAATCTGGCGTTTTGATCGTAAGCCCATCTACCTTGGGTATTGAGATAACAGCAAAAACACTAAATTCTAACAAAGGGCTAACCCTCGAATCGCCAGCTTTCCTAAGCTCACTCTGTCAGTTCAGGCCGATGATTTTAAGGACTGATTGTGTCAATTGTCTTTTGACGCGGCACAAGAGTTTCTTAAAAATATCACTTCCTAACAAATGTTTATACCGAGTATGGTACTTGCGTTAAAGTGATACCCTGTCCAATGTCCAATGTCTCCAATAAGTGATCAAACCTTAGGCCTTCCGATTTCTAGTCGAATGCTCAACCAAATAGCCGCAGATAACTCGTGGCGGGATGTGCCTTTGCATACTAGGAACGGGCTTAAGACACTAACTTCGGACCTTCCTTTAGAAGGCGATGTATGCAATTGCAATAAGTAGACGGAGGATAATGACTTATAGAAAACACTTTAACTTTAATTATCCTTGAAAACACCTAGCCTTGTAGGGAGTATCAGTAAACGTTTTGCATTGTACTGTTTTCTCAGGTATTATGACGACGATGAAGATGTTCAAAACGACCGTGAGTTTAAGAAATACCTCTATGAATTGAGGAATTATGGGAAAGTACGTGTAAAAATCTAATTGTGATTATTCTAATCTAATTGTAAAAACTCTATAAATGTGACTGTGGTTTGTTTATCGCTGTCTTTGGTTTTACCTATGTACAAGTTTTCTGCTTAAATATCTTCGACCGGTTATGAAGGGATATATAACGAACGCTGTTTTAATTGCGGATACCTGCTATTGTCAGCTTGGTTTTTGGCGTCTGGATCATCGCCGGATATACGGTGACAACGTTACCGTCTTAGCTCACGGACGTATACAACCTCTTCCCAAGGGTTTTCATCATGTGCAACGTTGTGTTACATTTAACATTCTGAAATCCTTTAACCTTAAATAAATAGCCTGTGATAAGGTGCAACTATACACATTCTGGGTTATGGCGTTGTTGGGATATGGAGTTACCGAAGATTATCGCCATGCTGGAATTTTACAAAAAGATATAGATTCTATCAAAGCAAAAGAATGTGGCCTAATGCGAGCTTGTTCAACAATTTGTTTCTTTTTGACGCGGTTTCCAACTTAAAAAACAAAACAAAACGACACAAATAAAAACCTCGAAAGTTTTTTGAAACATGGCTTGTGCTTATGCTACTGATGACTTCGTATCTCGTTACTATAGCAACCCTATCCTAACTTAACCTCACCAACAAATGACCAAGGGACAAATAAACAGCTGCTAAAAACAACAAGTGCTGGCATTAAATCCTTTTGAAAAATCGCTAAAAACTCTTAAGGAGGTGGCATCTGACCTCTCCCCTTTTGTACGTCCGATGGTTATTCCTCTTTCTGTTTTGTTTTTGGTTTGTTTGTGTTTTGTTTTTCGATTTGTTTTGTTCGTTTTTTTGTTGTTGCTTGTGATTGAATGTCAGTTTCCTTTTTTCTTTTTCTTTTTTTTTTCATTGATTTAATATTTTGATTACATTTCCCTGCTGTTTTTCCTTTTATGTTTTACTACCAATGTACATACTGAGCTTAAAAATAAA